GGAGTGAAGGTGGCGAATGGGTACCAGTCTATACGTAGTGTTCCGGATTTAGGGGGCGAAGGATACGTACCGGAGTGAAGGTGGCGAATGGGTACCAGTCTATACGTAGTGTTCCGGATTTAGGGGGCGAAGGATACGTACCGGAGTGAAGGTGGCGAATGGGTACCAGTCTATACGTAGTGTTCCGGATTTAGGGGGCGAAGGATACGTACCGGAGTGAAGGTGGCGAACGGGTACCAGTCTATACGTAGTGTTCCGGATTTAGGGGGTTCTCCAAGGCAGGAAAACCCGCAAAAAGCCCGCGAAAGGGGGGTTCAGAAATGTTGGCAGTCCTGAGATAGGGAGGTGCTTTCAAAGGGAGGGAACGAGCATATGCGTACCCTAAATGACACTGAGTGGGGGGGGGCCGGGGGACACTTATATATATAGCAGGTAGGAAAGCGTGATCGCAAAATTCGCTCGACGCTCGCTTGATTTCACACTTTCACAGCACGAATACACATCCAACAGCTGCCATCTTTGTTTATATGTCAAGAACAGTGTTCATTTGTTATAAAAACATACTGTCTCTGTTCGCAACCGGGCTGTGTCACGCGAAATCACACAAAGACTGACGAAATTCTCGCGTTCGCGAACCTTGCCCAGTAACGAAATGGCTGCAAGTATAGAGCTATATAGACTGGGACTCGCTCCTACCTCGATTACCCATCGAGTGACTAAGCTAAGCCGAGAGGTGGGAGCGAGTGCCAGTCTATGGGCTATAGACGGCACGCAGGTGGCACACTGCTTTCCAACTCCCGTACGAGCCTTGCCATTGGAACGTTGCAAAGCAGCGTTGCGGCGCAAGAATGAGGTCACGAAGAGCGCCGGTAGGTGCTTCCTGATTCTGACAGCCATTTACATTACTGGGCAAGGTTCGCGAATGCGAGAATTTTGTCAGTCTTCGTGTGATTTCGCGTGACACAGCTCGGTTACGAACAGAGACACTATGTTTTTATAACAAGTGAACACTGTTCTTGACGTAGAAACAAAGATGGCAGCTGTTGGATGTGTATTCGTGCTGTGAAAGTGTGAAATCCAGCAAGCGTCGAGCGAATTTTGCGATCACGCTTTCCTACCTGCTATATATATAAGTGTCAGTGTGCACACTGCAGCCGCGTGAGGAATGGCGGCAGTCAGTGTTTGTTGCACATAGGATTTGGACGAAATTTACAGGAAACTGTCGGCAATAATAGGTGAAAGAGAGTATAGAAACATTTGAAAGAATTTGGTAATAAATAGATTTCGTATTTATTTAGCATTATATTTTATTGAAATGCTTCAAGTGCCTGTAGCTACAGCATCATCAAGCAACAACCAGTGTCATTGCTTTTTTGGACCCCCGTTACTGCCTGTAATAGTATGTTCTCTATTTAACGTCATCCGTTGTTCTTTTACGTCTTCTTCACCACTACACTCTACAGGCTACAGCAGGCAGGCCCACCATTTTTTACGCGTAGGCCTACATCAGGACTCTCACCGGCACTTGGAACGTCTCAATAAAAAAAATGTAAACATGAAATGTATTTACTACCAAAGTCTTAATGTTTCTCTACTCCATTTCACCTATAATCACCTGTAAATCACTAAATGCTGGTCAAATGCTCATCTGCAACACACAAGTACACCGCACGCCCACGCTGTGCACAAACAACATGAATAAGGGAGCAGGTAGGAAAGCTTGATCGCTAAATTTGCTCGACGCTCGTTTCATTTCACACCTTCAAAGCACGAATACACATCCAACAGCTTCCATCTTGGTATCTATGTGTACATAAATGTTTACTTGTTTGTATTATAACTCTGCCCTTTGTACTTACCGACTCCCGCCAGAGATATCTCGTGAAATCCTGCAGGAAATGTTCTCTCCGTGAAAATGTAAAGAGAGTGTAAAGAGGACGTATCATTCGAAAATCCCTAACGGCGCTGCTTTCTATCGATCACTGTAGTCGTGTGTGTGTGACGTCATGCTCGCGCGCATTATGCTTGGCTTGGCGGGCCTCGAAACGGAGGCTCGGAGGCCGGCAGCAGCTCATCCCGGCATGCAATGCGCCGCCATTACTCATGTATAAACAGACATCTCGTCCTCTTTACACACTCTTTACATTTTCACGGAGAGAACATTTCCTGCAGGATTTCACGAGATATCTCTGGCGGAAGTTGGTAAGGACAAAGGGCAGAGTTATAATTCGAACAAGTGAACACATAGATACCAAGATGGAAGCTGTTGGATGTGTATTCGTGCTGTGAAGGTGTGAAATGAAGCGAGTGTCGAGCAAATTTTTTGATCACGCTTTCCCACCTGCTCTCTTATTCATGTTGTTTGTGCACAGCGCGGGCGTGTGGTGTACTTGTGTGTTGCAGATGAGCATTTGACTGGCATTTACAGGTGATTATATGTGAAATAGAGTAGAGAAACATTAAGACTTTGGTAGTAAATACATTTCGTGTTTACATTTTTTTATTTATTGAGACGTTCCAAGTGCCTGTGAGGGCTCTAGTCTATGTCTATAAGTACACGGTCCCTAATCATCCACTAATGTGAAAGGCCAGGGGGCCATTGTCAGAAACAAAATTTGTGTTAACATTGGTCTTAACATTAACTTCCACTCGTAAACCGTTGACAGTAACATCGTAATGTTACGAGAACGAAAAATCCTCGGAAATTTTCTCCTAACATTACGAGAGCCCAGACCCTCTCGTAACTTTAATATTAAGATGAAAATAACACATTTAGACTAAGAATTACAATTGTAGTGATATTAGATTGTATATTTATGAGTAATAATACTAATATGTGTGTTTTTCTTGAAAAACACGTCACAAACATTAATTATCTACCGTTCGTAAAACATAGAGTTGGGTACCGCGAAATTTTTTGTACCGCAGTATTTTACCAAAGTACCAGGGTATTACCGCGGTGTACCGCAATTTCAAGAACAGGTCAGAGGAATGTAACTCAAAGGTCAAAGACTTGTGGCGGGCTTTAGTGAAGCGCGCTACGCGCTCGTGATCGATCGCACCCTGTTCTCCCATCAAAGGCACCGCTGCCGCGCTCATAGAAAAACGCCTGGCAGTCGCCGCGTCGCGTTATTCTTGTAATCCGCTATATCTTGTAATTCCTTTGGAACAAACATGAGCGAGAGTAGGAGTGTCGTACGGCTAGAACCAGTCTGAAGTAATGAAGTATGTACAAATAAAACAGCACAGACTATCTACTAGGCATATAGAATAGGTGCTGGAGATACGCGAATATAGCGTGAATGGTGTCGATCGACGGAGATAAATTTATTTATAAAGCTATGCAATGACGAGGAAGTGAAATAAAATTGATGTGATAAAAATAGCTAAAAAAAGCCGGTACACCACTACACCACTACACCACACAAAGTACCGCGGTACGTACCGGTACAGGTCACGTACCACGGTATACCGGTAATACCGCGCACCTCTAGTAAAACAAAACAAAACATTTACAAATGGCGTATGGCATTTGTTCTCTTGTTTTAAATACTCTGCACTGACCACGACTCTTGCATCTCGTGTTACAGTGTGAGAATTTGTCTTGTTGTGCAGAACAAATTCAAGACTGTGTCGTTTTTCATCAAATATTATTTATATGTGGTTAGCCATCATAATATATGCATAAATTACTGTGATGTTACAATAAATGTGTATGAATTTGAATTTTGTGATCGATTCTCATCCAATCAGAGCCTTGTGACATCAAATTATGAAGTTCCTGTTATCGTGAGTTTTCTAATACTTACACACTCTTTTTTGTAGTGGAAAATTTGTATGTTTACTTTTTTGTCAAGTGTTGACTTTATTTTCTCGTTTTGATAAATGAAGCATGCTGTATTTGCTAATGAATAAACTATCAAAATTTACCTGTTCATCTCATTTTTATTCCTCCTTAAATCTGAATTATAAAAGTACTGCCAAAGAATCCATAAAATCCACAAATCTGGACCGACCCATTTCCCGAGCAGGCCGGATTTTTGGAGTTCTACTTTATTCAGTAATACTATAATTACTGCGGTGATCAATCAAGTTTAGCGGCGGTTTACTGTAGGTGTTACCAGGAGCTTACTCGTGTTTCGGAAGAAATGGTTTCCAAAACTGCGTTATCTGTGTGATGTCACATAATGCTTTTAATTTTTCTGAGATTGTTATTCTCTTAATGATACTAATGCTATTGCTTTTCTTGCACAGGTGAAGAATAAAACCCCTGCCGAAATACAAATAACGGCCGAGCAACTTCTTCGAGAAGCAAAAGAGCGAGACCTAGAGATCGTTCCTCCTGTAAGTTTTTGTTTATGTTTTAAAGGGATCCTTTACCATAAGTTCTCGGGTTATTTTCAGTTAATTTAGGTTAAAATTACGCTATATATAAAGTTTCATGGTTCAATCACCATTAGAAATGTTTTTTTTTAATGTTTTAAAACTATAGACTACAGTTTGATTACACCGACGGTGGCGCCACTCAAAGCGCACGATATGAAAAGTTGCGCAAAACGACTTTTCAGCCAAGGGCTACAGGCGAGGGTGGTTTGCTTATTTTATTATTTTAAAAGCCAATGGTTGTAATATCTTGATAAACGGAGCATATATAGTTTTCAGTTTATATTATGGATAAATGTTGTCCTATAAATGAACATGTAGTAATCGTTAATAGTTTCTAGGTATAAGTATTGCACTGTGGAATAGCCGTTCGTTCGTGTAGACGTGCAAAATATATTGGCAAGGATCGCGCAACTTTGCTTTCAGAACGGTGCGAGCACAGGTCGAGAGGGAGTTGAATAAATTGGGGCGTCGTTTTCAAATTTAGTTAGCGTTTGATCGTTATAATTAATTTATAATCAATTAAAATGTAGGTTATCTCGGTAAGAAGTAAGTGTGCAGGTATAGGACGATTTTGATTATACAGTAGTTGTATGCAGTAAAATCCTAGAGTCTAGTATCCCTTTAATGTTACCAGTCGTGTAATGAGCATAGTTATTGCTGTGTTGCTTAGAGACGAACCCATTGGTGTATAGTCTGAATTTTAATGTATTTAAACACCACTGACTTAGCTGAACACTAGCACCATCAATTGCTGGTTTTGTTTTCTTGGTGTGTATCAGTAGCATATGATGATTCTAACATTACAACATAAGTCCTAGTTTTTATTTTATTAATTTATATCGGCTTACATGTCATAACATGTGTACCACGTGTTTTTTTATTGCTGACTTGTGTTGAGTGACTGTTATTGCTTGATAGCGCTAGGGGGCGCGAGGCAGTAATGATCGTGAGATGCCAGGTAAGAGTAGCCGCTTACAAGGCTCAGTGGAAACGAGTGTGAGGTATGCATTAAAAAATCATTTGGAGTATTTCGGGATGAAGGAGGCGTTTACTTTTTCGGGAATTACAGAAGCATGTTGTCTATGGACGGATGGGGGAAGGCCGGGAAAGGGCATCCTGACAAATGTTTTTTTTTTACATTTAATAACCGTCTATGCCATTTTTTTGGGCAACTTACTTTCACCTAATGAACTGGTAAAGATTGAAAAGAAACAAGAATATATATATACAGGGCGCGAAATTAGCACCGGCCCACCGGCATATGCTGGCAAATTATTTGGAGGGCCGGTAACATTTGCAAAACACCGGCCCTCCGAGCCGGTGGTTTCAGCCCGTGTTAGCGAGTACCTACATTTTTATTTATAGCATTAATGAGCAAATAGACTACATTACTGTTTTACCTGAAGGATATCATGCCATAATTTATCAACATTTTACAAATTTGAAATCGAAAATGCAAGCGTGAAACGTGACATTGATTTTACAAACAAAATTTATGAGGGCTGTTAAATTAGGGCGAGGGCTGGTAAGAAATTGCTGTTACCAGCCCTCTGGGCCGGTGCAGAAAAATCTGAAATTCAAGAAATGTCAATTACACAATTAAGGCATGTCAGAAGATTTATGGAATGTCGCAAGCTAGTTTCAGCTTTGAAGGCATTTTAGACTCTTAAAGACTTAAAGGCCTGGGAAGAACCCTGTTCACCATAAACCACATTAGGATATTTTTATTGGGTATAAAATTGGCATGATTCTTTTAGTCTGACACCATCAGATTTTTTTCATGGATGAACTGATTTTGGTACCAACTCTAAAATTCTTTTAAACTCAATAAAACTTGTCAACTAAGGTTCCAGCTGTTAGAAAATTCCTGTTTTTGAATTACAGCTTATATTAGATTTATAAATTATAACAGTCTAAAAATAAATGGTATGAATAATAATGCCACGTTCAATCTCGTTTTCATTGCAAGATTAGAGTCAGATTGAATTCGTTCCTAAATTACCTTAAAAATAACAATTTGTTACAGTCTACCAGATTATAATAGCTAGTCATCTATACGATTAGAACATATCGAAGGGAAATTTTGGACCCTGTTGTTATACTGGACCGAAGACCACCAAGAAGTGAATGTTCAGACCATAAAAATAATGTGGTCTATTTGTTGATTTTTGACAGTTGCTAATGTTTTTGTTTTTGTTTCGATCAGGCATTTGAAGATGCAATTCGTAGAAATCGTTCCCTCGTCAGTAACTGGATCAAGTATGCACAATGGGAAGAAAGTCAACACGAAATTCAAAGGTAATAGTATCTATTAGTATCACAACTAAAAACATGTATACAAATGCATTGTTGATTAATATGAATCAAATATGCAACTAATTCTACATGTACTGGGTTGTGGAATTAATATAAAAATTTTATTTTTAAACCATGCTACCTGCACTTTAGTAGTGTACTACTCTAACCCGGATGTATCCCTGTGTAACCTGGTTATTTTGTAGCCTAACCTGGCTGTGTGCTAGTCTAAGCGGTACGTTTTCCAGTCTAGCCCGAATGCCTGCTAGTCTAATCAGGATGCCTTCCAGTCTATCCCACGTGCCTGCTAGTTTAACCTGTGTATGTGCTAGTCTAATTGGGGTGCTTTCCAGTCTATCCCAGGAGTCTGCTAACCTAACCTGTATGTCTGCTAGTCTAACCCGCATATCTGCTAGTCTA